GAACCATCAGATCTCACCCAATCCAGAATAAACTCCTCTTGACCTCAATCTAGGGCAGGGGTCCTTTCCACGTCCCTGTCCAACCTCAGCTTTCACACTGACCTCTCTTGCTCACTACTAGACATTAACCCCATGTGGCTATTTCAATTTAAATATATAAAATTAAAAATCTTTTTTTCTCAGTGACACTGGCCACATGGGACTGGTGGTGACTGAACTGGACAGCACAGATACTGAACATTCTAGTCTGGCACAGCGCTGCATTAGACTGTAAGCTCTAGGAAGGCGGACACTGAGTCATTCTGATTCCATGCTGTATCACAGGCACCCAGCCTATGCTCAGACCAGTTCTGATACAAAACAAACAGCAACTGAGCGTGTACAAGGCCCAGCAGTGTCCAGGGCCTGCCGCCTCTTTAATCTCCTTGCCTCTAGTTCACAGCTTCCTGCCAAGATTTGGGCCCTGACCCAGGGTTCATGTCCCTCCCTCTCTCCAAACCATCTCTGGTCCAGACTAGCTCTGCACCCTAGTCGCAGTGTGTGTGTGTGTGTGTGTGTGTGTGTGTGTGTGTGTGTGTGTGTGTGTGTGTGTGTGTTAGGGGGATGGGAGTACAGAGAGTATTGGGAGGGAAAGGGACAGTCAGTGGGAAGAGATACAGGGTTCCTGGCCCCAAGAAGCTCAAATTCGTTCCTCTGGTAATGTCTACTCCCACTAATGTAGTGTCTGCCCACTACATAGGCATTAGTTTCATAGGTTTTTTTTTTTAAGATTTATTTATTTATTCATACAGAACTGGGGTACAGGCCAAAGATGCGGAGGGTAAGAGGATTCACCAGGGACAGAGTGGGAAGCAGAACAGGCAGATCGACGAAGTACAACACTGAGGGGAGCAGCGGGCGGGCCAGGAGAGGTCTGCCCCGCCATGTGGTCACCTCCGGGGCAGGGGGGAATCGAACTCATGAGGAAGTGGCTTAAGCTTCTTTGTGCTGTGCTTTAACCCGCTGCACCATCAGGGAGGGCCCAGTTTCCTTAGTTTTAATGTTGGCTGCATCTCCTCTGACTTATGTGACTTTGAGAAAGTGATTTAACCTCATTAGGCAGTTTCCTCACTGTAAAATATGGGCAATAATCTACTTCCCACCGGTAGTGAAAACAGGATATCTGGGGTTCGGTCAGTGCTTAAATATTGCTTCTTCCTTTCTCTAAAGAGAGGCAGTAAAATCTCTTCCTCAAACATTCAGATGGTGGCCCTCAGACACCTGTGTGGTTTCCACTCACCCAGCAAAGGATGCTAAAAATAACTCCTGACTGCTTTTGCCTCAAAGCAAGACACTTGTCTTTGGCTCATTGCTCTTATCTCGAAAGGCACCTGGCTTAGTTTCTGTCAGTCACTATGTCTGTTTGCTTTTCTCTCCCCACCTTCACATCATAGTACACGCCTGAAATGCCCTTCCTACCCGCTTTCCCAAACCAGGCTCTACCTTCTGGGATGCAGATTTTTATGAGACTCACTTCCCCTTAAACCTGCTTGATGCAACATTTCCAGTTTCAGGATTGCTAATCACTAAAGGAATTTCCTGCCTACTTGAGCCTATATCCACCCATTTCCTCCTCCCTTAGTGCCTATGATGTAAGACTACCTGGCCACTCTGCACCTGTGCCCATCTCTGTTCCCAGGTGTCTGGTTGTTCATGTGAGTATATATCGAGCAGGTAGCAAGAACAGGTGGTAACAACAACCCCCCCAAAAAAACAAAAGCAGCTGGCAGATAAGATAGGAGAACCAGATCAGACACAGGTCTACAGGCTACCAGCTACATGTGGAGCAAGTTCACCCTTTTGACTCTCAATTTCCTCATATATTTGTCACGAAAATTAGAAAACTACTGCCATTACTATCTTCTGAGTTCTTTACATATTCTTTTATTTTATCTTCACTGCAATATGTGATGTTTTTATGTTACTATTGATGAAACAGATACAGCAGAAACTTAACACAGAGGTTAAATAACCTTGTCCCAGGCTAACAGCGTATAAATGACAAAACCAGGATTAGCACCTAGCTCCAGGATTAGACAGTAGGGGTCCAGAGTCCATGTTCTTGACACTCTTAACCACACCTGCCTCTCACATGTGACCCTGTGTGTGTGCAAAGCTTCTGACACAAAGACAACCAATGAATGGGATTGCATTCACACAAAGCTATAAAAAGTATCTCCTTTCGAACTCTCCTGCACTGCTAGTGGGAATGCAAACTAGTACAACCACTATGGAAAACTGTTTGGAGGTTTCTCAAACTGCTAAAAATGGAGCTTCCATACCCAGCAATCCCCTAGGTATCTACCCAAAAGACACAAAAACACTGATTAAAATGGCACCTACACCCCAATGTTTACTGCTGCTTTATTTACAATAGAAAAGACATGGAATCAAGACAAATGTCCACAAGTAGATGACTG